GCCCATCTCTCGTTGTATTCTCGACCCATGCTTGAAGTGCCTAATGCAATATAATATGCATAAATACAATAAAAAAACATTGAATAATGCGTGGTAAGGAGCGTATGGTTAAGATGCAAATTTAAGTTGCTGTATCGAGAAGGAATGGGTTTACTTACGGCCACATAAAACTAACGGTTTCAACTGGATCTACCATATTCATCAGAAAAATCAATTGATTCATGATCGTAGCGAACAAATTCAGTCCAGTCAAACATATCTTGCTTGCTAATCATACACCCTACATAGCAGGCATTGTTTGTTTCCAACCCTGTACCGTTCTGTTGCTCCATTGGATAGTGTTTCGTGCTGAATAATCTCTGTGATGACCTGAAGTGTTCCGAGACAAATTTATATCACTAATCCGCTTATGCATCAGTAAATTTCTATTAGAACATGAGTGAAACGATCTTAGCTGATGAAGGCTGGCAGGCTTGGTTAAAACTTGGTTTTTTGGTATAACATCTCACTGCTCTGTGCTTCGATTGACAACCTTTCCTCTTCCCGATATGCTACCCTCGACGACATATGTCATCAAGCGTTTTATGTTTTTGACCAGTCACAAAATCTATCAATAATAATTCCAATGCAGTCGCTTATATAAACATGCGAAGATGTGTAAAATAATAAGCGTGTGAAATCTTTACCGTATTTGTTGACGACTCCATAATCTCCTGGGTGATAAGTGTCGTACCGAGGCTGCGGATATCCCGGATGTCGCATCTGAGGCGATTGACCGAAGGCGTAGTTGCTTCTTAATGTTGGATACATATTTGCACTGTCAGCTACAGCAATGTCCTACAAAAACACACCGGGTTCCGTTCATTTCATAAATGCTGAAACGAATTAAGCTTACTGTTCCATCGACCTTGTACATGGGTTTTCGCTTCCTTTCAGTCATTTGTTGAAACTTCGCCGTAACAATCAGAATCAACGAAATCTAAGATAATTAAATAACTGATTAATATAAACTTCATAATATTTAAAATGAAAATAACAAAATCTAAGAAAAGCGGCACAGGTTGTAGACATGTATATATCAAAGACAGGATTACTTCTAGTTTTCTCAGCAGCAATCGTATTTACTCGAAACGCAGCAAATACTTCAACCTGATTAAACACTTACGTGAAATAGCTGTAATCCAAGGAAAAATATTCCTAACGCTATTTTGCGTACGTCAGACTGAAATAACACGGATTTAATGGGTTTTAGCCTGTCGTCATTTCGTGTCACAGCTTACTTCTGATAAAACGAAAATCATAATACAGGAAATGAATCCTCTGATGACATCGGTGCTGAGCGAAGCGATCCATGGCAGCAAAAGAAATGGTAAATCCTAAATGTTTCCGATAAGCAATGCCACGGAATTAATAACGTATTTACTGTACAAAGTCCAACTAGTATGAGAATGGACGAAACAATGACCAAACAGAAGATGAGAATATTCAGCACCAGCACTGGATATCGTACTAGAAAGAAATCACACTGAATAATGGAGGTAAAAAGCGAATGTAACTGCTCGCAGATATGCTCGTACCAACTCCCCCGCGAACAGGAGCTGTTAAGCGCCTCATAGCCCTTATAATGCAATACATGATTGCTCAGTGTAATGGTAATCGCAATAAAATTGGATCTGGCGTATCATTTAAAGTGCGCAACACAAAACAGTTCATCAAAATGAGAAACGGATGCCGACATTTCGGTGTTTGCCT